TTCAAGCCCTCTGTTTCCTCACTGACGTTCTGCCTAGTGTCGTCCCCGTTATTGAGAGTGGGGCAGTGACGGCTCCAACTTCTTCGTCTCTTAGAACCTTTTTCGATTTAAAGTCCATTTGCTCTCCTGTTAGGATAGGAAGCCCAGGTCTCTTTTGGTTACTATTAGTGTGGACTATCTTTTTCCAGTCTCTCATGTTCACCTTTTTCCACTGTAGCTCTAAAGAGAGTCTTGTAGACAGCAAATAGTGGGATAATGTTTTTCTGTCCATTCTGCCAGTCTGTGCTTTGACTGGAGTGTTTAATGCCTTTACGTTTAAAGGAATTCCTGACAAGGAGGGACTTACCTCTGTCATTTTGTGGTTTGTTTTCTATATGCCTTACAGCTTTTTTTGGCATTCCTGCATGACTGTCTCCTTTCACATTTAGTTGATTTTTGGTAGGGAAACATTTTAGTTACCTTTTCATTTTCTTTTGTGTCTATTCTATACCTTTTCTCTCTGGTTACCATGGCATCACACTTAACATCCTAAAGTTATAACACTCTAATGTCAATTTATACCACCTTCGCTTCAGTAACGCGCAGAAATGTAGCTCCTACACAGCTCGGACTCCACCTCATTTCAGTTATTAACATCTCAAAATTACATCTCTAGGCATTGTATGTCCAAAACCATATATTAATAATGGTTTTTTTAATCCTTTAGTCTCTTAATGGAGAAAACAAAAAGTGGAGCTACGAACCAAAGTTACGATAGTGCCAGCTTTTATAATCGTCCACCTACTTACTTTGACCAGAGATGTAATTTCCTCGTAAGGCGCTGAGCTGCTGTCCAGCGTCCTCTCGTTTCAGCCTGCAGGGCTCCCTTCATTGGAGGCGGGTCTGGTGTAGCGCACTCTCCCAGCCGTGGATTCTATGGGGGCGTCTTAATTCCTCCCTCATGTTTGAAGGACAGTGTTGCCAGATGTAGGATTCTTGGTGGGATTATTTTTTCCTTCAGCACTTGGAGCACATCAACCCACGCCCTCTGGCCTCCAAGGTTCCTGGGGAGAAATCAGCTCATGATCTTACTGGGGCAAATATGCTAAAAGCTCTCTTCCGCTCAGCTTTGTGAACGTTAATGACGTCCCTTCTCATGCCTTACGGGACAGAACGTTTTCCTATAGTGTTATAATATCAGTTAAGTTGTAGGATCATTTTGAGACTAATCAGAGTTTAAGGAAAAGGAATTGAATATTTTAGGTGTAGATATTTTGAGGTCTTTAGAAGCCAAAACTTCAATAAGTTTTGATTTTTAAATTAGAAATGAAAAGGCCACTGAAGCAGCCTACAGATTTTCACATCAGCTTCATGGTAGCTCATTTCTGCTTAGACCTGGAAAGTCAATTACGCACACAGAACTCACGGAGCGTTGTACTAAAAACACACAGCCTGCTCTCTGAAAGGTACAAGGGCCAGCTTGCAGGTCCCCGGCGCCCAGCGGCCACGAGGAAACCTAGAGGACAGCGCGGGCGCCATCTCGTGTCTAGGATGGAGATCAGCAGCGGAGCAGAGGGGCGCAGGGGCGCACAGCCGCGGGGGAGGGGGGCGAAGGCAGACGCTCCTTAAATCGGGGACGCAGGGGAGGTGCAACTGGAGAGTGGGGGGCCGGGGGCTCCGAGGGGCGGACGGCCCCCGGGGCTTGCCAGCGCGTCCAGAGCGGCTCCGCCGCAGGGAGGCGGGTCCGACGCCGCGCTCGCCGCCCGAGTCCCGAGGCCGCGGAGGAGCCGCCCTCCTGGAACACGCGGGGCCGGTGCTGCCGCCGCACGGCCCCATCCCCCGCCGGAGCCGCGCCCGCTTCTGTCACAAGTTGAAAGGCGCCCCTTGCCCGTGTCAGGGACTTCACGACAGTCTGACGGGGCAGCCCCCGTGCGTCCCGGGCGCCGTCCGCGCACAGGGAGGGGCCGGGCGTCGTGGCCGAGCGGCAGCACCGGCCGCATCCTCCGGCGACGCCCCCTCGGACGGCTCCTCCGCTGCCCGGCCGCCGCTTCCTGGGAAACGCGGACTCGGGACCAGGGCCCACCACCGTCCGCTGGGTCGCACACTGACCCTATGGGCCCCCTGGGTGCAGCATCCGCCACGCAGGGGCCAGGAAAACGCTCTGAATCACGCGAGGGACAATTACGCTCCAGAAAAGCCGAGTCCTGCAAGCGACGTCCCCGGACCCCTCCCAAGGGAACCAGCTCGGCGGACTCCCGCGGGAGAAGTAACATCCAGTCTCACTGGGAGACGGAAGTCGCCCCCACCCCCACAAGGGGAGGGCTTCAGAAAGACTGCGCTCGCCGGCGTACCCTGCCTCCCTCCACTGTCCTACCGTACAAATGGGGAGACTGAGGCCCCCACAGGAAAAGACTGTTGAGGCTACTTCACAGGCTCGGGAAACCAAGCGCCCTGCTTTTCAGTTGGTGCGGAACGGCGAGTCCAGAGGCGACGCACCATAGAACATCCAGGGCAGCCTCACGGCCACACGCTCCTATGGCCTCTGCAGAGCCCGCCCGCTCGGCTCCGCTCGGCTCCACTCGGCTCCACTCGGCCCACCGGCTCGGCCCGGCTCGCTTCCGCTCGGCCGTGTTCGGTTCCACTCGGCTTCACTCGGCCCCGTTCGTCCCCGCCCGGTTCCGTTCGGCGCCACTCGGCCCCGCTTCCCGGCGCTTGGCCCACCTGCTTCGCCTGTTTCAGCGGGCTTTTAGGGTAGATTCGCCCGGTCGCCTGGCCTCGCTGCTTGGTCGTTTGTAGCTTCGGGTTGTGTCCGGCACAGCTCGGCTCCACCAGGCCCGCCTCGCTCCCTTCTTCAGTCACCTACCAAGCGCCCCTGCACCTGCCAACCCGTCACCCACCGGCCTGCCCTGGGGGAGTCTGTCCCACACGACCCCACGGGCCTCTCTCAGGGTTTCCGTCATCGCGGAGGCTGAGGGAGGGTCCCGGGCTCGAGCATCTGGAGCACTTGGCGTCGCGTCCAAGCCCCCACATCGCGACTGGATGACCTTGGGGCGGGCCTCTCCCCTCTGAGTCTCAGCCTCTCCATATGCAAAATGAAGCTGCTGCTGATCCCGCTCTCCCGGGGCTGCTGGGAGCACGAGGGGGCCGGGGAGCACGTGCGGAGCTCAGCAGAGTGTGCACGCAGAGGAGAGCCCCGGGCTGCGTCCTCTGGGGATCGCAGAGGACCGCAGGGGCGGGCGTGTCTGCAGGTGACCTGGCCCTCTGCTTCTCTCTGGCTGCGCGGCTTCCAGCAGGTCGGCTAGACGCCCCGGGCCGTTTCCTCTCCGTGACACGGGCAGGGCTCCTTGGCAAACAAGAACGGGCTGTGCTCGCCCTGCCCTCCAGCCCGAGACACCTCAGAGCGAGGCTGCACCCTGTCTGCTCCAGCCCCCGTGCTTCGGAAGGCTGGAGTGGGGGAAGGGGAGCCGCTTCGAATGACCCTGAGCGTAACTGAGACTCTTCCCCACACCTTTATGAGCCTGGAACTCAACCGACACAGGGCAGTAGCTGGATCCTTGAGTTGCGGGCTGCACAAACTGAATTTGCCAATTTAAATAAAAACAATTGTTGGAAAGATACGGGGGAGATAGCGGATGAAGGGAAGCCTGAAGACAAAAGTCAGCAAAGAGGAAGCTGGGCTGTCTCTGAACACTCCCCCTGGACACTGCTGCTGTGTGAAGGCACTCCAGCCCTGTCCTATGTCTGACTGGGCTGTCACTCTCAGACTCTGTGTGTCCCGAGAGAGGGTCTGCTTAATGGGGGAGGTGTCAGGAAATGCTTCCCATTGCAGTAGGTTTTGAAGGATGAATAGAAACTTGCCAAACGGAAGGAAACGACCTTCCTTCCAGGTAGGAGCAGCAAGCACAGGGCATGTCCCTCACAGGGCAGGGAGGTTGGGGTCCTTTCAGAATTCTGCTTGCCACACTCTGCCAGGGGCTTTCCTGGTCATCTTACTTGATGCTCACAAAAACCCTACAAAAATACGTGTTATTAATTTTTTGGAAAATGATTTTATTTCCCTCATTAAAAATGCTAAATGCTTTTATAAAGAATTCAAGCTATACAGCAAAATGCTGCAAAAATGGCGGCAGGGTGGTGGGAAATCTCTGTAAATTCTAGTACCCCAAATACCCAGGATGAATATTAGGCAACATCATCCCAAGTATCTTTCTAGTTCTATGGCAGGAGGCAGGAGAGAAGGAAGGAAGGGAGGAGAGAAGGAAGGAAGGGAGGGGAGAAGGAAGGAAGGAAAGAAAAGATGCAATTTTATAAAGTGGGATCACACTACATTCTAAATTTTAAAATAAAATATATGGAGCTTCTTTATGCTTGGATTTAACAAAAGGAAAAGAATTTAAGTGAGTAAGAGCGGTTGCTAACTTTGTTTTGTTACCACAAGAGATATTTCCTGCAAGACCCCTGCCCCCAAGATTGTGAAGAACATTAGGAGGTTGAAGGTCATTTATTTTCTTAAATTACATGTTTCGCTCTTAGCTCTATTTTTCCCTATCATGAAGGATGGGGCAAAAGTCCTTCACACTCTCTTCCGTGCCCACGCCCAACATTCTGCTGTTGGGTTGGGCTGGTTTTGTAATGCCAAGGTCCAGAATCTGCACATGTACTGCCACCTCCCTTCCGTTGGATGCTTGGTCCGAGTTCTGGGTTAATTTGGAAGCATTGCTCACCTCTAGTCCTGTCATCTTGGCTTTCCCCTCTCTGAGTTCCTTGGTTAGATTTAGCTCTTGGTTGGCGTAGCCCCAGTTTACAAATGTGAGCACTGAGGCTCGTTCAAAGACACTTTGCCCGTGACTGATCAGTGCAGGAGTGAAGACTCAGAGACGGTACCGAGGAATCGTGGGCTTTTGGACTCAGGGCTTGGCGTCTGGATAAGGAGCAAGTCACTCTCTCTTCTGGAACCTTCTGGGGAGGCCAGAGGAGCTTGGACAGGACACAGGGCTAACTCTTCCTCCAGGGGCCAGATTCAGAGCTGGGCAGGCTTCCTGTGGTGCCTCTGACCCAGCCCCAGAGGTCCTTGGAGGGAATTAGTGACAGGCTGCTTGTCTTCTTGTCCCAGATTGATCTGGAGCCTGAGGACTGTGGACAGCAAGTGGGACAGTGAGGAAGCCCAAAGCATCTGCTTTCCTTCTACCAGAAACAAAAATTCCCAAGCAGGGGCCTAAACACTGAGAAGCTCATTTTCCTTTCCGTTGGCGAAAAGAAAAGAAAGCCCAGAGGTGGGCAGTCTGGGCTGCAATGGCATGACCCAGGATCCTTCTTATTTTCCATTCTTGTTTTCTCACAATTGCGGCCAGAGGATGGGGAAGAAGGGAAAACCCAAGGGACTAAAAGCCCAGTGACTTCCACCTACGCCTGGTGGGCCAGAACAGAGTTGCGGCCACTCCTGGCTGCAAATGATGCTGGGAAATGTAGTTTTTAAAGTCTGTCAAAAGACAGGAGCTTCATGTTCATGATAAGTGCTATTTCTTCATCACTTTTTAATCTACACTAATGATAACAGCTACATTTATTGCTTTATAGATATTTGTTGGCAGTGCAAACTGTGGGTCAGGCGCACAGCTAGCTGTTGAGTGCACAGTGGTGAAATAAATAGACAAGGGTCTGTCCTCACACGGCTCGCTTGGGTCTCGTACATGCAAAGCACCTGATATCTGTGACTCCAGTGTCCATAATGGCACTGAGAAGTGAGTAGTAGTATCCCCATCATAGGGACGAGTAAGTGGAGGTTCTGAGGGGCTAATAGCCTATTCAGGTCCCGTAATTGTATAGCAGAGCCAGGAGTCAAACCCATGTTGGTCTACACCAAAGCTTTAGCTTCTCTGAACGCTTCCACACCAGTGGTTTCTGTTCCTGGCTGCCCCCAATGCCTGGGACCTACCCCTCAGAGATTCTGATTTAGTCGGTTGGAAGTAAAGCCCGGGCATCAATATACTTGCATAATCTTATTTAATCCTCACAACTGGAGATGGAGGTATTTTTCTATTTAAAATCAAGGAAATGAAGATCCAGAGAGGTAGATTCATTTGCGCAAAGTCACACAGCAAGTCCACAGTGGAGCTGGGATGTGTATCCATATCTCTTCACTTTCTCCAAAGAGCTGTCCTTGGCTCCAGAGAAAGGCGGCTTCCATAAAGTTGAGGGGTACCCCGGGCAACCCCTCTGCCCCAGCCCAGAAGCTTCTCTGAGCATGTGTGGACCTGAGGGACAGGGCACCACGTGGCAGCTGGGTGATAACCCGCCAGGCCCTGCCAGGATGTGGGGCGGAAGCCCAGCCCGCTGAAGGCAGAGGTGTGGCTGCGCTGGGGTGGGGGCCGGACGTGGGGATGCACTTTTTCCCCAGCACAACAAGCTGTGGGCTTCCTCCTCCCCGGCTGAGCCCTGCCTGATATGTCAGGCCCAGAATGGGTCACTAGCCAGGGACTGGAGGGCTGGCAGGCGGGCAGGGGCCCAGGGCCAGTCCCCAGAGGAAGTCACGTGGCGAGGGTCACAGGCCTGACCCAGGCACAGTGAAGGGAGGGAGATATTTCAGGCCTCAGAGGAAGGGCCCCGCCCACGAGGTGAATCGGCCTGGACAGATTATCCTGAGGAAGACCTTGGGGGTGGAACTGTGATAAGCACCCCCTCCCAAGGTGGCTGGGAGCCACGGTCAGCTGGCCTGGTGTGGGTGCCGTGCTCAGATGTGTCTGAGGACGCCCATGCGCTCCAGGTGCTTTCCAGGAGCAGCCTCTCGGGGCCTTGCTGCCCGAGGACGAGCACGTCCGCTTCAAAGGTGAGGAACCCGAGCCTGGAGACGAGTCTCTTGCTTGGGAGCTGGGAGTTGAAGCGGGAGTGTGCCCTCCTGTTGCTGCCAGCTTGCCTGCCCAAAGCGGGAGCTCAGATGCCACTGCCCTCCGGTCCCGTGCACCCTGCGTGGACATGATGTCTCCCAGATCAAACACCCGGGCTGTAGACTCCATGGCAAACCAGGCTCCAGGTCTCACGCTTGCTTCTGGGTGAGGCACTGGACTTGTCCAAACTCTTGTTGTATGAACAGGAAGGACAGAGTCCAGAGAGGCCGAGGGCTTAGCCCGGGTTCCAGAGTAAGTCTGGAAGAGGCCGACTTGGTCTGACTCCCACCTCCCAGCCCACAGGTCTATGCATCTTACTATTACTTGGGGTTAAAAGTATTACTGTGGAACAGTTTCTGGATCTCTGAGTGTGGTCCTGGGCCATCAGCATCACCTGGGGACTTGTTTGAAATGCACATGCTGGGGCCCCATCCCAGATGGACTGTATCAGAACCTGGGGGGGCGGGCAGCCCTGTGTGTGTTAACAAGCCCCCTGCGAGATTCTGATCCCACCAAACCCCAAGTACACACACACACACACACACACACACACACGGTTATTTAGTGTAAAATGGCCCTATCTTAGCCCAAGTTCAGTAGAAAATCCCATCCCCCTGATGGCCCTTGCACGGGCTCACGAACCGTGAGAGTGCACGGGGCCAGGGAAATCACCAGGGTAGCGCTTCTCAGATTTGAGGAACATGCAGCCCCTTCAAGGGGGAAGGTGGTGTGTGTGGTGCTCCCCAGGCACAAATGGTGGTTTCACTGATTTTTATCGTACCGTTGCTTTAATATGGACTATCATAATACTAAGTAGAGGTCCTCATGCCGTTGTAGAATCAGCAAGTTCCAGATTAAATATAGACAACGACAATCAGCACTACAAAACCTAACTTTTAAATTAATGATATTGACAGTGAGGCAGAGAATACTGGTTTGCTGAAGCCGAATGGCAGCTGGCAGCCTAGCCGAGGCACTGCCCGCCGCTTCCACCCGGGATCCGGCCCGGGTATGACCTGTGTTGGGACAGGAATCACCTCTCCCTGCCTTTCCTCGTCCCAGTGCCTCGGACCCTTCCTCCACACAGCGGGTGGTTTCAGTGCGTGGTCTCCAGGCCCTCAACCTCTGCTTCCCTCTGTGGAGCCCCAAGTGGTGAAAATGCTTTCAGGTGGCATCCTCACGATGGTAAACACAAAGGCGAACCCGGGCAGGGAGGTCAACCAGAAAGGAGCTCTCCCGCCAGAAAGGTGTCATCCCCATGGGCTGAAATGGTAGATTCATGCTGAATGAAACAAGGTCATGTTAAAATTCTCACTGTTGGAGCCCGCAGCCTGTCTCTGGAAAACTAAGGGCTGCAGAAGTCCCCTGTGGAGAGGCACGACCCTAGAGGGGCTTTGGCTAGCCCCACTTCTGAGCCGGAAACATGCAGGCTCAGAGAAAAGTGAGGACCTGCTCTTCCCTCCTCTGGTCCCGCTAACAGACGTCAGCTGATTTCCCATGGGTGTGAAGACGCGCTGTGTCCCAGCCACAGTTGTCCCCCAAATGCAAGGGACGCCCCTGAAATCAAGAGAGCTGCCCTCCCTGAGAGAGGTTTGTGCACCTTGGCACCACTCAGTGGGGATGGCACCAAGGGGGTATGGGCACGGGGTGGGGGGGCTGGGCCACAGGAGGGACCCCAAAGGCATCTGCTCCAATGAAGCCAGCCTTGGTTGGCACCCGGGGAACTGCTCTTAAGTAGAGAAGTGACGCCCACCTCTGCCAGGAAGTCCAGCTTGGGGGCTCTGGAGGGTGACCTGGGCATCTGTATTTGTAACCAAGTCATTGTGATGCACACGGAAGTTGGAGAAACACAGGCCCCGATGACCTTGAAGATTCCTTCTGGTCCTGAAGGGCTGGATTCCAATATACATCATGGTCATTGTAGTCATCATCAAATGGTTATCATGTTGAGTGCGTGATATAATGCCAGGCACTCTGTGAGGGCTTTTCATATATGATTGCATATAACCCATGAGGTAGCACTATTATTTCACCCCCATTTTACAGATGAGGAACCCGAGGCTGAGGGAGGTTAATCATTTTCCTAAGATCACACAGCAAATGGCTGAGCTGGAACTCAAGGCTGGGTCTGCTGCCCCCTGCCCTCAGCAGCACTTCGTATCTGACTCTGCCCCTAGCTGGCCACGGGTCTTGGTAGCCTCTGGTACCTGCTCCTGGATGCAGTCTCCTCATCCATGGATGGACAGTCTCTTTGCACCTTCATGCTCCCCTGTCTCTGCCCAAATCTGCAAACAGACCTTTGGGGTTTGCTGCCCCGCAGGGCAGTCGGCTGGACTTTGACGGCAGGAGTGAGAAGCTGCTTCTTTGGCCCTGCTGCCCACGTTCCGACTCGTCCCAGGCAGGATTCTTCGGCCCTGCCCATCCTGGCCCGGTGTTAAGCACTGGATCGCCCACCTGGAGTAAAAAGACCTCGTCCAAGGCAGTGGGCAGGCTGGGACGCAGAGGAAAGCCATGCAGAGGAAAGCAGTGTGGAGGCCCCGGTTCTTGGTCAGGGTGGGGAGGTGTGGGAGAGGACACACAGGGAACTGCTGGGTAACTTTTACTAAGCACCTACTATGTGACAGACACTCAGCTAGATGCTGGGCGAACGACTGAACCTCAACATCTCAGCTTTCTTTTCTGGAAAATGAGGTTATTATGAGGAGTAAATGAGATTCATTCCATTATTCATTTATCCAGTAATCATCCATTGAAAGCTGACTACGTGCCAGCCATCGTTCTGAGAAATGCAGCAGTGAAGTGACAAATATCTCTACTTCATCGGGCTAACAGTGCAGCTGGGAAAACACATAAAAACAAGTCAACAAACAAATATATCGTGTAAAGTCAGAGGGGGTGGCAGTAAGTTCCGGGAAGCTAACTAAAGCCAGAGGAAGAGACGGTCCAGAAAGGGCTGTGAGGGGGCAGCATGGGTGCTCAGGGACCATTGGAGTGGAGTAAAACTATCTGAGAGAAGAGTGTTTCCAAGGAGCAAAGAAACAAAAAGGGGGCCCTCCTCATCTCCCCCACTTGCTCCCATCCTGGGAGAGAGGACTTGGAATGGACAGCCCCAGGCAGGAGGGGCCGGCGGGGGGGTGCTTCCATGGGATTGCTGCCCAGCTTCCACTGGCCTGACACGCAGGGGAGGCTCCCCATGGAGACCGAAGGGGCTGAACGCTGGGCAGCCCCAAATAATAGAGGCTCACCTCACTTATGAAAACACACGTGGGCCCATGTCACTGCTTTGCTCAAGCACAGGTCCTGTGAGCATCGCCTGAGAGCCTCAGCCACAGGCCCTCCTCTGGAAGCGCTCATGGCAGGTGAGGGGGCAGACCAACACACAGGTGAGGAGACGCCGCATGAGAGTGGCTGTGACAGGGGCCAGCACGAGGGCTGTGGAGGTAAATGTCCCGGGTGCGGGAGTCCGCCTAGGAAGGCCTCTGGAGGAGAACTGAATCTTAAAGGGAGTTTGCATGATTCAGATCTCAGCATGTCTCCTCTTCAGAGAGGCCTCTTCTGGCAGCGCTGGCCCAGATTCCCACCAAGCCACTGTCTGTCACAGCTCCTTATTAAGCTGAGCTGGGATGGTGACCAGGACACCGTGCTGGCCCCTGACCTCATGGAGCTGCCCTTCCAATGCAGGGAGACAGAGAAGGAAGAAACAATGTGCACAGAGATAAAGGCGGGGCTCCCCACAGCGGCCAGTGCTGCGAAGGGAGTAAAACGGGTGAAGGGAGAGGAGGTGGCTGGAGGTGAGGCTCCTTGAGACTGAATGCCCTGGGAAGGTGTCTCTGAGGAGGTGACATTTCAGTGACTTTCTCAAAGCCACACAGAGTAGTGACAAAGCTGAGAGGAGAATCTCATTCTCTTGGCTTCCACACAAGGGCTTCTGCCCAGCGCCCTGTGTCCCCCGTGCTCCCTCATGCTGAAGAAGCCCACACGTCTCCTGCAGACGTCCCCAGACGCACATCACCGGGGCCTGGAGCGAGGGAGTCTCCACTCGTCCTGGCTGCGCCAGCACCTCCAAATACTTTAGTAAAAAGTCCTTTTCTCTGGTTTATGTCGCTGAAGGTTTCTTATAAGCACAAATGAAGAAAACAAAAGAAGCAAATAGAAATGGGAAGACTCCACAACCCCAACCATAGGACCGTCAATGGAGACCGTCTTAAAGACAGACACTCTATCCTGATCCGTGGTGCCAGCACGTGGTGGCTGTGGCCTCCCGTGAATCTGATGTTGCAGATGCGTGCAAGGCACTCACTCTGTTCCAGGCAGCACTCTGAGCACTTTACCTGGAGCATCTCAAACCTCACAGCAGCCCTGGGAGGCAGAAACTGTCATCACCCCCAGCTGACAGATGAGGTCACTGAGGCAAGCAGAGATTTAAGTAACTCCCCAAGGTCACAGAGATGACAAATGGTGGAGCCAGACTTAAACCCCTCTGGAGCCCTCATCTACAGCAGCGGCTGGTGACTAGCAGAGCTCCATGCATGTTAGCAATAATTATTAACGCGGACCCTGGGGCCCAAGCGGCCTCTCCTTCTGTATCCAGCAGGGGGAGCCAAAGCCCATGGCCCCCTGTGCCCCTCCCCGGGCACGCTTAGTGTGGGGGAAGTGGAACAGCACCTGCTGAACAGAGATGCCCTTCTCTTCCCTTGATGCAGGCGGAGGGAGCCAAGTGGGGAGAAAGACTCTGGGTCAGCAGGGCTCTCCAAAGAAGAACTTTCTGCAGCGGGTCCCACGGAGTCGTGAAACAGTTATTCACACCTGGTTCCAGGTCTTGGGATGAATCAGATCTGGTTTCCTCATGGAGGACCTCCCAGTCAACTGAAAGATTAAGTGACCTGGAAATTATTAGCCTCAGAGAAAGCCCAACAAGTTTTTTAAACTGTCCTGGATCATGCAGCTATTAAGTGGCAGAGCTGGGACTCAGACCCAGGCTTCTTTGACCCCAAAGTCTATGGTCTTTTTATCAAGCCCTGGTCCTCAGTTGATGCAAGCCCTGTGCTTGCTGCTGGGGCTACAGAGACGCAGAAGACAGGGTCCTATCCACAAGGAGCTCACGTTCTAATGGAGGAGGGTGGATGTGAGCCCAGACAGTGTTTGGGATGGGAAGGCCTCTGCCAGGATCAGCTCAGGGGCCAGGGAGCACAAAGGAAGAAATGTATTAAAATGTGCTCTCCTCAAAGAAAGGGGTCATGTCTGTTGTGTTTACTGCTGTATCCTGTACCTGGCACAGGGCCTGGCACCCTTTAATCCTCAAGGAATGTTTGATGAATGAATGAATGAGGAAGAGACCAAGTGCCTAGGACAGAGACATGGTTAATGAAGGAAGGCTTTTGATGACTTCGTGTTTGGGTGAGGCTTGAAGGATGAGTTAGGAGTTGACCAGGGGAAAAAGGGGAAAGGTATTTCAGGCATACGCAAAGGAATAACAGGGTGGAGTAACGGCCTCTCAACTGTTTTTAAAATTACAACCAATAATATACACACATACACAACATACACACAATATATACACACACACACAATTAGAACCATATTTTGTACGTCTTCTGTTATCGTCTGGCCTGTTTGCGCGTTGTAAATGTTAGTGATAACTTGCTGATTTGTTCTGATGTTGGCACAGGGAATTTGGGGAAAGTGGAGGCTGCAAGGGTAATTTAGAGGCAGACTGTACGGATCTTCAGATGCTGGGGTGGTGAGTTTGGGCCCTTCTTAGTCCTTGCCTGCCCTGCAAGGTCCAGCCCTGCAAACTCCCTGCTCCTTCTCTAGCCCTCTGAGTAACATCCTGCCTGCTCCGGTTAGTCTTCTTCAGCTGCCTCTAGCTTCTCCTCTTCCCTAGCTGGTTCTTTAAAAGATGCTGCGTTCCTCGGGCTCTGCGCTGGGCTCTCCCCACTCGTCCTTCTCAGCCTCCTGTGACATCCCAGCCTTGGTCTCAATGACTGCCCACCTCCAGCTCTGGAGACCCAGTCACCCTCGAAGGCCCACACCCACCCTCCTGAGTGCCTGGCACACACATTCAGCTGCCCCTACAGATGTCAACCTTGGCACCTCCGAAACCAAATTCATCTCCCTCAGACCTGCCCCTCCCTTGCCATCTCCACGTTGTCCTCACCAGCCACACTGTCTCACAGGACAGAGTCCTCCTCCTGTTTATTCTGCCTTCACATCAGCTCTCGGATCCATGCACCTCTCTCCTTGCCATCTGCCAGCATCCTTGTCCAGGCTGGGCCTTTTCTCCACTGGATAACTGTTGACACCTGTTGCAATCACCTCCGGGCCCCCTTCTGTTGGTTCCTCATAACAGCCACCATGAACCTTTGGAAACATAAATCGGATGGTGTGACACCCTGCTTCCCTTTATGATAAAATTCAAACTTATTAGTATGCCCTAAAAGTACCCCCAGATTCCTCATTGAGTCTCCTTTCTGCAACCTTCCTCCACCCCTATTCCCTCCAGTGCTCCATTCTTCAGGACCCCCATGGGCCCTGCTTCTTCTGACTTCAAAAACTCTACCTGCTTAACACCAACTCATTCCTTCTGGAGCCCAGTTTAGGAACAGCTCCTCCAGGAAGCCTTCCTGGTTCCACCCAGGTTGGATTTGGAGCCCCAGTCTCTGTGTTCCCACAGGCCTCTGTGCATCCACCATCTTGGTACCCAACACCTTCTCGTCTATTGCAGTGGCCCAAGTCTCTCTTTTCCATTAGATGGGTGGCATAATTGAGGGGATAAGAGCAGATGCTGAAGCCAAAACTCCTCAGGTTCAAACCCCAGCTCTGCCGTGCACTGGCTGGGGGAGATTGGAACTTTATTTAATCGTCCGTGATGCGCTTTCCCCACACTATGAAATAATGGTAGTTATGATAATAATAATGATAAAAATATTAACCAGAAGAAGAGCATCTATCTGATAGCATTGTTAGGGACTGAAATGGGTTAACTCGCTGAGGTTCTTCACGACATTGCCTGGCATGTAGTCAGTGCTCCCCACGTGTTCCGGGAGGAGATCAGCCTTCAGACTAGCTGCTCCAGAGGGCAGACACTGGGTCAATTTCATCCACCGCTGGGTCCCCAGCACCTGCCCCCACATCCTGGTTATGAGTGAACCCTAACATTTGCGACATAAATGGACCTTTGGTCTAAGAGAATGACGATGCTCCTAGAGAAGAAAGGACGCAGCTGAGTGATGCGTTCGAGGTCGACTGCTCAGGGCTCGGCGCTGACCGCATCTGTGGGTGAGCAGGAAGGAATAGGGAGGAAGAACAGGGCTGAGACAGACCTTGTTACGTTCCTCTCAAACCCTTGGCTGCTCCAATGCCCCGCTCTGTCGTTCACTGACACCTCCGTCCACGCAAAGACTCCAGCCAGCTTGTGGTTAGTGGTCCTTCCTGTCCTCTCTCTTTCCCCCTCCCCGTCTCCACTGAGTCCTCCCAAGTCCTCTCAGTGCTGCTCGTGTCCCGGGTTGAGCATCCTCTCTCCTCTCTGCACCCCACTTCCTCCCATGTGTTCCAGTTACAACTGCTGTGTGACCACTGACCCCAAAATGTAGCCACATCAAACAACTTCATTATACTCATAAATTATTGGGCTTGGGGATTTCGACAGGGCACTCTGGGGATGAGTGCAGAAGCCACCGTCCGCCGTGCCTCAGCTGGGAAGACTCAGCAGCAGGCTGGCTGGGGCTCCTGCAGCCACACGTCTGGCACCTGGGCCGGGGTAAGTCCAACGCTGAACTCAACCGGGCTTGTGGACCGGAACACCTCCACGTGGCCCCTGTGTGTGCCGGAGTGTCCTCACTGCCTGGCAGCCTCCAGGTGTCTTCCACGGTGGCTCAGGGCTCCAGCAGGAGCGTTCCTGCCAACAAGGTAGAAGCTGTGTGGTCTCTTAGGACCTAGCCTTGCAAGTCCTGGAGCATCGCTTCTGCGACCCCCTATCGGCTGAAGCCCTCAGAAACCCACCCAGATTCACGCGGGGGAAAGCACAGAGAGCCCACCTCTCGATGGGAGCCTTGGCGAATAATTTTGTGACCATGTTTTAAAACCACCACCTGAACCGAAACCAGCACTGTCTCGTACCTGGCCCCAGGGTGTGCTCTCCTCTCTGGTCTGCCTGGCTCCACTTTGTCCAGCCCTACCTATCGCCTCCCGGTGGATTCTCCACGGGGCAGCCAAGGGGAGATTGAACACACAAATCAGATGAGTCAGCCTTTCTTCATAGCCCTCCAATGTCTTCCCACCGAACTTTCCACTGAAATCTAAGCTCCTGACGTGCCCACACAGCCCTGTGGGCTCTGCATACCCCGTCTCGTCCCTCCCGCATCACTGGCCCTCTTTCTCTTTCTTGAGCACAGCCCCACATCCCCCCTGGGGCTCGTGCCCACCTCTGAGCTCTTCACTGCGGTCCTCCTTCCTGAAATGCGGGGCCCCCAGCCCTGTGTCCTTCGGATCTTAGCTGGAAAGCATCTCCTCAGATCGAAAATAAACCCTCCAGCACCCAGTGTCGTCTCTCGCTCACTCAGTTCTGTTATCTTTACTTGTCCCTGTGATGTCTGAAGTTATGCATTTGTTTACTTCTGGTCTGTCTCTGTCACTAGCTTCAAGAGAGAAGGACGTTTGTCCTTCTCATTCCTTGCTGTGTCCACGGTGCCCCATGGGGCCTGGCACAGACATTTGTGGAGGGTGAATGAATGCATGACAGTGGCTTTGAGGGCACATGTGTGTGATTTAGAAAAGCAATTCTGAAGGATAGGCAGGCCGGGCCTGGGTGTGGGGGGCGCTTACTAAAGTCAGCCACGTCTTGTTTCCAATCTGGCTCTGCTGCTCACTGGCTGGTGACTTTGGGGAAACACCTTCGTGTCCCTGAGCCTCAATTTCTTCAGATGAAACTCGAGTCCAACAGCCCCTAGCTCACTGGACTCGGGTGTATATCATCGGAAGGGTTCAGCACTTCTGGGCAGCCAGGATGCTGTCCCCTGGAGCGACGCCGCGCTGCACCACCCGCCGCTCCCGCCAGGTGTCGCCGCGAGCGCGCTCTGAGGGGCGGCTGTGCCCGGCGCTCTCGGCGGCCGGGGCGCCCCACGTCTTGGTTCGGTGCGGGGCGTCCAGGCCTCAGCCCGACTCCGACCGTGCGCTCAGAGCAGGATTGCAGAGGAAGCTGACCCACCTGCGCACCCACCTGCCGTCCAGCCTCTAATAGCCAGGGGTGGGAGAGGAATTTACTGGGCCAGTAGCCCCGCTCCGCCAGTGGCCCTGAGGAAGGGGGCGCCCTCCCCCGAAGCTGGTCTTGGAAGCCAGGGGGAAGGCGAACCCGGGGTGCGACCTAACAACCCCCGGCTCCGAGCGCTCGGCCAGGCGCGGGCGCACGGCGAGGCGGACCAGCTCGAGGCTGCTCGGCCGAGCCCTGATCCCTCTCAACCAGAGGGCGGTCCCTGGGCGCCCAGCAGCCCTGCAACTTTCGAGTTAGCGACGTGTAGGGGTCGAGCGGACTCCCACCGCCCCCCACCCGGCTTCGCACCCCGGAGCCGGGAGGGGGCGCCGCGGGAGCGCAAGGGGCAAGGCGCGAGCGCGCGCCTGGAGCAGGCGGCCCGGTCCCGCGGGGGCGCGGGGCGGGCGCTCGGGGGAGGGGGCGGAGGAGGGACGGGAGCAAGAAGGGAGGGAGGGAGGGGCGGGGGGCGGGTGACTGCAGCGCCCCCGCACTCCCCGCGCCTCGCACACTTGCACCGGCTGCTCGCGCGCAGCCCGGCGTCGCCCCGTGCAGCGCTCGCTCCTCCCTCCCTCCTCCCGCTCCGTGGCTCCCGCGCTCCCGGCGAGGCTCAGGCGCCGAGCGCGCGGACGGGCGCACGGACAGACGGCCCCGGGGAAGCCTCGGCCCGCGCCTGCCGGGCGGGCTATGTTGATTGCCGCGCCGGGGCCGGCCCGCGGGATCAGCACAGCCCGGCCCGCGGCCCCGGCGGCCAGCGGGGACTATGAACCGGAAAGCGCGGCGCTGCCTGGGCCACCTCTTTCTCAGCCTGGGCATGGTCTACCTCCGGATCGGGTAAGGGTCGCTCGCACCCCCTGCACGCGTGTCCCGGCAGAGTTGGCGTGGCCCGGGGAAAGGTCGCGCCGCCTGCGGAGCCGCCGCCTGCCACCAACTTACTTGGCCCCCCAGAGAAGCCGGGTGGGCTCGGTGCGGGAGCCGGGGGTCGCACAAAGGCTCCCCGCAGGCGGACGCCCCAGGGGCGCGCACAGCTCGAGAGACACGGGCGGGGGAACCGGCCATCCTGAGGACGTCTGATTCTGGAAGCCCCCAGAACCAGAGACAGCCTGTAGGGACGCTCCAGCTTGGGGAACTGTGAAGTCGGCTGGCTGCTGCAAAGGGTCAGCCTCTCCGGGGCCCTTCAGCCCGGGGCGCGGGAACAGCAGCTCTAGCAGGAGTACCGAGCCGGGAGCCAGGACCACGACCGCTCCCAGGGACCTCAGCCCCCAGAGCCCGAGAGCAACTCTGTACACAGAGGCGCGGACGCAGCCGCTCCGAGAAATAGGGCAGTCCTCCGGTGGCAGGCGGGGCCGGTCCGTGCGACAGGGAACAGGTACCCAGAGGGAGGGACATTCGCTGGCAAAAACACAAAGCGCTGCTCAGAGCCTTGGCAGCACCCGCTTTCCGAGGACCCTCAGACTCCCAGAGCCCCTTCCCAGGCCAAGGGCATCGCGCCTCCCACTCCCAACAAACACACACAAAGGTAGGAGGGAGATGGCCCGAGACGCCCGGGAGACAAGCTCGCAGAGCCAGCGCCAGAAGGAGGCGGGACACCCCGCCCCCTAAGACTGGGCACCCGAGTCCGCCGGCGCGCCCGCGGAGCGCCCTCCCCGCTTCGCCCCGGCGTTTCTGCGGAGGTGGGGCCTGGGGCGGGCTCTAGCTGGAAGGTGGGAGGGGGCGGCTCGGGACGCGTTTTGGAGCTGCGTTTGCAGGCTGGTCCCCCTTTGTAGTTAGGAGATAAGGCGCGTGAAGCACGGAGGGGTGCGGAGGGGGGCTTTAGGGACTGGTGGAGCTTCTGGCGCTGAAGGGCCACCGTGGCAGGTTCCTCACAGCCTGCTCCAGCATCCCCAGCAGGGGACCTCCCCACCGCTCGGCTCGGGGAGGGGGCGGCCTGCGGCGGGGCGGCGAGGGGCTGTGCGTGGCAGCTCCTTTGTGTTTGTCGCTACCGCTCTCCCCTTTCCCCACCCGCGTCTCTGGAGCGCGCATTTCGCCAGCTGACCGGCCGTGGCGGCCAGCAGGTGCGCACGGAGCGGACGAGGCGGCCCGCCAGCCCCGACCGCGGGCCGAGAGGCGGCTGCGGGGCGAGCGCGCGCCTGCCTGCGGTGTGTTTTAAGTGTTATTGATTCGCCCGCGTCTGGGTGGTTTTTCTTTTTCCCCCGCTTTAATCTTCATCTTGGCCCGCGCCCCGCCGCCCTGCGCGCTTCCAGCATCCAGGAAGCCGGTCGGGCTGATTGGCGCTGGCCGCGTGCGGGCTTTATCTCCTTTTTAATTAGAAACGGGGCGGAGGGACCGGGGAGGGGAGAGAGAAAGGGAAAACAACAGAAAATAACCTCCCCTGGCCGCCCCGCCCGACCTCTCGCCGGCGCCGAGTCCTCATTGGCCCCGCGGGGGCCCGCTGCCCCGGGGCGAGGGAGCCGCGGAGGGCGCCGGCCTTCCGCCCGCCGCCGCCCTTTGGGGCGGGGAGAGGTCCGGGTCAGGAGATGGAGATACAGGGTGGCTTTGGGCCCGGCCCTGCAGCTCCCTGGGCCTCGGGTTCGCCATCTGTAAAATGGGCATGAGAGGTAAGGTCCCAAAGTCCCTGAGAGGCCTCCGGGGTCCCAGAGGTGGCTGGTTCCTCCCTGCTCGGGATCGCTGGCGGGGTGTCTCTGGTATTCTTATTTCAAGTGGCTGGAGCACTAGCCCCTGGCAACAATCAGATCCAGTAGTAATAATAAGGACAACAGCACATTTATGGAGTACTGACTGTGTGCTTCTAAGCACTTTCCATGTTTTGACACATTTAATTTTCACAGCAACCCTATGAGGTGAGGACGAATTATCAATATCTTCATTTTATCCTTGGAAAAACTGAAGTCCAGAGAAGGGATGTAACTTGCCCAAGGTCACACAGCTAGTAGGTGAAGGAGCTACCAGACTATTGTTCCTATAAATTTGTGACCCTAGTATATCATTCCAGTCTCTGATGGTGTAGGAATTTCCTGATGGCCAGCTAAATGTTCAGAGCTTCCTCCTGACTTGTGGCCAGAACATCTCCATTTGACTTAATGCGTCTGTGCCGCTTCTTCCTCGAGCATTTCAAACATTCCAGCTCTCCGTTAGACTCTTTTAGTGGCTGAGATGAATGACCCAGAGCTCTCACCAGGCTCCTGTTTCAGATCCATCACCTGTTCGCCTCCAGGTCTCAATCTCTGTGAGCTCCATTTTCACATCTGGGAAGTGGACCTGGTGATTCCTGCCCGACAGTGCTGTGTCGAAGGTTGCATGCGCTCGTGCTTGTGGCAGCCCCCGCCATGCTGACCTGACACGTAGCAGGGATGCTGCAGAAGCTGGCGATGCGCTCACCGCGTATTTGGACGCACCTGCTATGTAACGGGTGCTCCCTCTGAGCAGCGTTTTTGAAGCTCCACGTCCATTCATTCAGTAGCTGTTTAGCGGACTGGCAGACAGCCCCCCTGCCCTCAAAGAGCTCACGGTCTAACGAGAAAGGCACCAAACAAGTGAGCAGGCAGATTAAAGCAAACACATACAGTAAAAGGTTGCAGAGGACCGCGAGTCATCCAGAGCATGAAGTAAAGAAAACAGAGATTGTGATGCAAGGAGCGCGGGTGGGGTGGGAGACAGGCTCCCTTGGCTGGGGTGGTCAGGGAGGTGACCCTTGAGGCCACGTGAATGATGGCAAGAAGCCAAGCATGTGCCAATCAGGGGCTGAGAGAGCTTCCAGGGTGAGGGTACCAGCAAGGACGAAGGGCCTGAGGCAGGAAGAGGGTTGGTGTGAGGCAGCCACGGAGGGAGAGAGGGCGGGAGTGGTCGGTTATGCACTTGGAGGTGAGCAGGGTCCCCTCATCTCTGGTGCTGTGGGGACAGGGGAGCCTCACTTTAAGAAATGCCCATTCCAGACAACTTCCCCTAGCTGAGCCCAGGATGGAAGGCGTGGGCGGTGAGCCCAGCGGCCGGCCGTGGCCCTCCGTAAGTGAAGCTCTTACTATTCCAGCCAGAGTGCGGCTTCAGGGCTGAGGTCCTCTCTGTAAACGTTCTCCTGATGACATTTAAAGCTTCTATGAAAGGAAGCTCCAGACGAGGGGGCCGTCTTTGTGTAAAGGGAGGGCTACCTGCATCATCGGTGTTCCCACTGGAGCCTGTTTGGGGTTATCTTGATATTAGGAAATGGCCCCACCCTCAGGCCAGATACCCACGAGTCACGCTGACGCCTCTTTCCCTCAAACCCTTCCTCGTCCCTCCCCTCAGCTCCGCCCCGTCCCTCAGTCCATCAGCAAGCTGGTCAGCTGCCTCTGCTGTCACCCCCACCACTGCCACCAAGGCCAAGCCACCCCCACCTCTCACCTGCCCACTCTCCCTGCTCCTCCTCTGGCACCCCACAGGCCTGTCCCCGTGGGGCTGGAGGAGGGGACCGTGTCAGGGTCCTGCTGACGGCACTTTAGAGCTTCCGGCTGCGTCTGAGAAAATTCTAGCCCTCAGCCAGATCTTCCCCCAAGCTCTCTCTCCTCCAGCATTGGTTCTGCATCAGCTTCTGTGGGTTCCTGCTGCTCCCTGACGATCCCAAGCTTGTTCCCCTCCCAGGACTTTGCCTTTTGTGTTCCCTCTGCCCAGAGTCCTGTTCCCCAGACCTTCCCACGGCTGGATCCTGCCATTCAGGTCCGCTGCACTGTCACTTCCTCAGGGAGGCCCTCCTTGACCACCCCAGCCAAAGTGCCCCTCTTCCTTCCCTCCCAAACCTACCGCTAGCTGCCATCACAGCATTGTCGTTTGCTCTCTTCGTAGTGCACGTCACCATCTGAAATGGCCCGTTGTATTCATTTGTGACACACACTGTCTCCCTGAAGGGCAGGGCCTCCCGTCTCCCAGCAGGGTGCCTGGCACGTGCTGGTGCCCAGTGTGTACCATGCAGTCAATGAGTTAAGGAGATAGGAACTCTCACCTGAAGAGTCAGAAGCGTCCTGTAGGCCAGTCATGCCCAGAGTGGGATACACATACTCCATGGGCACACAGGAAGAAAACACTAGAACTTCTCTTTACGATTGCTTTTTTAAAGATGTTTCTTTGGCTCTAAATCATATACATACATTCCAGAGAGCATATATAACACACACGCACAGTTGTTTTAATGGACTTCTGTGCACCCACCACCCTTGTGGAGGCCACTGCTCCGTGACACTGGGTGGTGTTCACTCCCTTGCGTGCCTCTGCAGTTTCGCCACGTGGAGGAGATTCGTAAACAAGATCGGTTTCCTTTTGCAGGATTTTAAACTTCATCTCAGTTGAATCCTACCATAAATACAAAGGCAACTCACCTAGTTCTCTCACCGTTGTTGGTGACATCCATCGTCATCTTTTCATATCCAAAGAGGAGCTCGAGCCTCGCTAATACTGGATGTACACATCGCACAACCACCCGGGTGGAATTGTAGATGACTAAACGTGGGTTGGGGGTGCAGTATCAAACAGTTGGGAGACCTCAGCTGGGAGCAGCAGGGTGGGAGGGCCAGGGCCTGATACCCAGGGAGGGCCTGGAGGCCGTGCCCCTACCTTGCTGGCCTAATGCTCCATCTCTCTGTGTCCCCTGCTCCAGCGGCTTCTCCTCCGTGGTAGCTCTGGGTGCGAGCATCATCTGTAACAAGATCCCAGGCCTGGCTCCCAGACAGCGGGCGATCTGCCAGAGCCGGCCCGACGCCATCATCGTCATAGGAGAAGGCTCGCAAATGGGCCTTGACGAGTGTCAGTTTCAGTTCCGCAATGGCCGCTGGAACTGCTCGGCGCTGGGGGAGCGCACCGTCTTCGGGAAGGAGCTCAAAGTGGGTATGTGCTCACCCAGACACCCCACGCAGGGCCTTACAAGCTGCGGGGAGACTAGATGCCCTTGGGAGCCCCCTGGGACCCCCTCACCTGCCACATACTGGAATGCCCCCCGATATGGGAGCCCGAAGGTGCCAGACTTGAATTCTAGTCTCTTGATGAGGGTCAGCCCTCTGGTTTGGATCCATACCAGCCGTTTATGACAGAGTTGAAAACCAGTGCCCAAACGCTAACTGGCTGGTCCAGAGCTGATGTTTTTTAAATTGAAGCCAAATTTCAAAATTAGCTGTTTCACCTAAAAATACAAATTTATGGCTTCTTTTGAAAAATATCTTACATATGTGCCACGATAATTATAATGGGCTGGAGCTGACCACCCAGCTTCCTTTAGCTGGAGCCTGGGCAGCCCGTTCACTGCCACAGTCCCCAGCACTCCCTATTATCCACCTTCTATCCACCCTTATATGACTCCCCTGGCCACTGTGGGCATTTGAATTTGCAACTCCTGCTTTATGAGAATTGTATGTTGCTTGGATGTGCATGCAAACACATATACACACACAGACATGCACAAAGTGTTGGGCCACACATTCGGTTTCCAAAGCAATTGTGGGAAAAGCCTGGTGGAAAGGGGGTTGGTCACCGGGAGGCCCCGATCGGGGCAGGGAAAGCCCTGTTGTTTGTCTTGTTTGTGTGCATCTGACGTGGGGTGCCAGGAACTCTGCAGGCTTGCTTCTGAGCTGTGAACTTCTCTGAAAGTCAGCGTGGACTTAGGCCTCTCTGGGCTGGAGTGGTTTTCCCGGCCTGCTCTAAGGTCATCCCTGAATTCTCACTCTCCCTCAGCCCCAACATCAGCAAAGCCAATGGGTATGGAAAAGATCCACCCCAAATCCAGTCACTTCTCCGTGTGCCTCCTTCCTCTCCCTTGGGTCACCCGCTGGCACATCTGGGCTCCTGGGTCTTCCCCGTCTCTTCGCTGTCTCTGTGCTGTCCCCTGGCCGTCCTGCAGAGCCTCTCGCAGGCAGGCTCGGCCTTTGTAAATGGACATCAGATTATACAATTTCCCTGCTCAAACCCTTCAGAGGCTCCCCCTGCTATGAGCATGAAATCCCAACTCGCTGGGCTGCTGCTGGCCTCTGCCCCCATCTGCCCTTCCCCTCGCCCACCCAGCCTCCTCACGTTTCCCAGACACACCACACTGGGTCCTGCTCCCGGGTCTGGGCACCGTGCGTGCCTCTGCCTCATAGCCGTACCACCAGGTTCCTGTTCTCTGTACGCAGGGCCCCCCCCCCCCCCCCACAGCTGTAGGTCTCCAGCGGCTTCCTGGACCGCCTGTCTAAAGTTCCTGTCACCACGCACTGCATCCCGTCAGCCAAGTCCCGGGCACCGTCTGAAGCTGCCTCACCTGCTGGGAAAGCAGCTCTGGAGGCGGGGGCTCCCTGCCACGTTCCCCACTCAATGTCTTCTTCCCCTTTTCTTCTTGGAAGGGAGGACAGCGGCATCTCGGTCCTGCAGCAGACCTTGTTTTGTCACCATCTCCTCCACTTGCCTTCTTCCTCATGCCTGAGGGGACTGCATAACAGGCCCCAGGTTCAGGGTGCAGTGGCAGGGCGTGGTGGCCTCCTCCCCTCTCAGCACGCACGCCCTTTCCTACATCCTTGTGCTCAGAATGGGACTGCCCCCACTCACACCAGGAGGCGGCATCAACACTGGGACTCGAGTTTAGTTCACCGAAATCCCCATCTTGTGAGCCGTCCCTGTTGTCACCTGTGATTTTTCTGCCTTCTCTTGCTCATAGCCCCTGCCCCCCATTTCTGGGACCCGGGCCTGGGCTCTGTCATTATTTTAAACTTGGATCTTTGCTGACATGATGACATGGGACCTTTGCTGACAGACGTTACAGATGAGGAAAGTGAAGGACTTGCCCAAGGTCAACAGGTGTGAGTGGCGGGTCTCCCAGGACTGGGTTGTTCTGGCACAGCTTGCAGTCTGGGAATAGCCAGCCCACTGGCTGCACTGTAATGCTGCTGCCCAGGTGCGGCAGGAGGGCCACGGTGCCGGGGTCCCAGGACGAAGGGCCCCTGCTGTGCAGCAGCCCCCAGCGGGGCAGAGTAGTAGAACCGAGGGACCCGTTGCAGGCTGAGGTGGAGGAATATTGCAGTACAACCCACCAGTGTCCACTGGGGAGGAGCAGAGGCCTGGGGCAAGAGGAAGGCTTGAGCAGGCAGAGGTGGCCTCAGGGACTTCAAGCCAAGAGAGGAACCGAGAAACCCATGGGGCGGCGATGCTCAGGCCGCAGGCTGTGGGGCTTGGAGCAGAAGGAGCAGAGCCAGGAGACGTGCAGGGTCAGTCTGAGCAGTTTCAATTTCTAGGGTGGGAGCAATTGGAGAATTTTGTGCATGGGCATGACTGACAAAGTGAAATTGCATCCTGTGAAGTCACCACTATTCAATGATCTTTGGCCCTCACGAATAGCAACATCGTATGATTCAACCTAATAGGAATTCTGGAAGATTCATTAAAGGGTGGGTACACCTTTGTATTATCAATATAGTCATCCATCGATTCACTCATGCGCCCACCAAATATTTACTGAGGGTTCACTATGGCTGGAAGCTGCTGTTCCAACCTGCGTGCTCAGGGAAGGCCTCTGGATTTGCGAGGGAGGTGAGCCACAGGCATGTCTGGGGGAGAAGCATGCCAGGCAAAGGGAGTGGCACGTGTAAAGGCCCTGAGGCAGGAACGTGTTTGGTGGTTTGAGGAACAGCGAGGAGGCTGGTGTGGCTGGAGTACAGCAAGAGAGCAGAAGAGGAAGGCACAGAGGTCGGAGAAGGAGCCAGGAGCTGGACAGTGTGACATCTGTCCGGCCAAGTCAGGGATTTGGATTTTCCTCCATGGGAATGGAGAGCAAGGGATCCTGCTTTGGGTTTAGCAGCATTGCTATGGCTTCTGGGAATAGAGTGAACTGCAGAGGGCCCATGGGGGGAGTTAGGAGTCTAGTCTGGTCTGGGTCCGGGTGGGAGGCGCTGGTGGCTGGGACCTGAGCGATGGCAGTGGGGATCTGCCTTGGAAGTGAGCTGCCAGGATAGGGGGAGACTGACGACCTGAAAGCGACTTAGGAAGGAGTTCCCTTGCCCTGGGGCTCTTAGGGTGGTGGCAGTGGGAACAAGCAGAGGAAGATGAGGTCAAGATGAGCCCCCCTGAGACTGAGAAGCCACTTCCCCCCTGAGCCTTGGTTCCCTCATGTGTAGACAGCTGTCCTGCTCAGGGACACCAAGATGCAAGCCTCAAGTTTAGGCTTTCTGGGCTCTTCATCAGTACTCTTCCCGCATGGGGCAGCATCTTTCTGGGAATGACCAGCCAGCAAGGGCTGCCTTGTAGGGATGAGGGATAAGGAGCAAGGTCCTCGACTTTTGGCACTCTGGCCATCGAGTCCACACACTGGACAGCAGGACACATCACCTATCTCTGAAGAGAAGCTCCACTTGCGCTTCTGCTTACATCTCGTTGGCTAGAACTTCATCACATGGCCACAGCTAGCTGCAAGGGAAGCTGGGAAATGTAGTCTTTTGTTCAGAGTGGCCATGAGACCAACCAAGGATCTGTGGTTGAAGAGGAAGGGCAGTGGGGTGGGCAGGTAGCCCCTGGCATAGGTTCTACATCCCATGCTGAGGTCTGTAGGCTCACCCTTCACCCTCTCCTCAACCTCCACTCAGGTCTCCAGCTCTCCCTGTGCTTCATGACTCTCTCTCCATCTGAGTGTTCTGGATTTTACTGCATAGATCCAAGGAGGGGGCCATGGGCACATACCAGGCAAGACCCTCTGAGATGCTAGAAACTGAAACCCAATTGAAGCCACCTCCAGCACAAAGGGGAATTTATGTGTGCCTGAGTCACTGGGCAGTGAGGGATGGTGCTGACTTTCAGAATTTGGTCCTTTGGCCTGGACCAGAGGTGGTGCTGGCTTCTGCCAACCCCAGAGGCGCCGCTTAGGGCAGCAAGATGGCTGTTGCAGCTCCAGTGTGACAACTTCCAGGTTCAAGTCCAGCCAGAAAGAGCTCAGCCCTTCTCTGGTAGCACTGGCAAAGGTCCTAAGGTTCATCCCGATTGGACCCGCTAATGGGGCTTGACTTTGGCCGTGTGTCCTTCCCAAACCAGTCACAGTGGCCAAGGGCAACAGTGCTGTTGTTGACCAGGCCTGCGAGCCCCGCCCAGACCATCTCTCAGGGGAGAGGGCCTGCTCACGAGTCTGTTGATCTGCTTGGGCTGCCAGGACAAGTCCCACAGGCTGGGCGGCATAGACGACTTTTATTGTCTCACAGTTCTGGAGGCTGGAAGTCCAAGATCAAGGTGCTGGCAGGGCCAGTGTCTGCCGAGGCCTCTCTCCTTGCCTTGTAGATGGCTGCCTTCTTGCTGTGTCTTCACCGGGTCTTCTCTCTGTGTCTGTGTCCTGGTCTCTTCCTATAAGGACACTGGTCAGATTGGGTTAGGACCCACCCTAATGACCTCGCTTTAACTTATTCACCGCTTTAAGGGCTCTGTCTCCAAATACAGTCACCTTCTGAGGTCCTGGGGGTTAGGAGTTCAACATATATTCATATTATATAATCTTATAATATATTCATATGTTGGGGGACACAATTCACCCACAGCAACAGCCAGAGAGCAGCATGGTCTGTGCTTTAGCGAAAGGCATGTGGGGTGTGGTGGGTGCTCAGAGGTGAGACTCCAAGGTGGGAGGAGTGGCCTGAAGAGCGGAGATGGCCTTGACCTAGGTCTTGAAGGGTGGGAAGAGTTTCAGTGGTCAGTGAATGGGATCCCAGCAGAGGGGCCGGTGGGGCAAAGACATGACTGCTCAGGGGATGGGGCACAGGGGTAGGCAGCCTCGGGAGACATCACGGGCCGGCTGTCAAGAGCCTTCAAAGGCTGGGATGACTTGGGCGTGGTGTGTGAGCTCACATGAGCTTTATCAACTGCTACCCAGGCCCAGGTGGCACTCGGGA